TTTTATTTTAATTCTATGGAGTAGCTATTAGTTCAGCCAATCCAAGAACAGACGACCAGGTTTTCTCTCGATTTTTGCATGTAGTCCAGTATTATGTTTGCTAATATTATTCTGTTTATGTATAATTAATTAATTTATACTTTTTCAGAAATTGAAATGAAAATAAATTAAAATGATGATGTTGGTTAATGGAAATAGAAATTAAATATTTAAGTATTATTAGGATATCGATTATTTCATTTCTAGCTAATTACAAATACATTAATTAAAAAGTGTACTAATACTATTTTTAATTAAACAACAATATATTTTAATTTATTGATGGTAAATATTTCTTATTATAACAATTTATTTAATGTTAAAAAATTATAAGTAGTTAAAATAAAATTACATTAACTAAAAAGGATTAATATAATTTTTATTAGAATAATCATCAATAAATATAAAATATTATTGAATTTTATTGTTCTAATATTTAATAATAGTGATTGTTTTAACAATTTTATTGATATTGATTAATAATAAGAAAGTAAAATTAAATAGAAATTGTAATATTTTATAACATCCATTCATAAAAATTGTATACACTTTTATTAGAAAAAAATTATTAATAGTATCAATAAAGAAATAATACAAATGTAAAGTAATTAATTAAAATTATGAGCCTCATTAATAAATAAGAGAACACTGTCAAAAAAAATAAATGAGAGAGAAATAGTAAGAGTTTTAAAATAATTATTAGATAGGTGTGGGGCATGAAATAAAAGATAAAATAACATTATGGAAGAGAAATTGTAATTTTAGGAGTTTGAAATGTCTCATCGATTGATTTCATTTCCATTTTATTAAATATCTAAAAAAGAATAAAACTTTTCATTCATTCGCTCCTTGAAGTAAACAGCCTTTAATTTTTTTGTTTTTTTGTCTGGTTTTAAACTTTAGTATTTTAATTATTATCTGGCAATAATCATTTTTTTAAATATTAATTGTAAAATAAGATCTTTTAATAGCAATTTATTTATTTTACTAATCTGAATGTACCTTAATTAATTAAGATACCTATATTTGACTGAAAAATCATGAGTTTTTAAATCTTCACTCCATATGTGTTTATTTTAATTTCTAACTTTATAAACACATATTTTGTTTCTTAAATAGAATTTCAAAAACTACTTTCAAATTTTAAAATTTGGATAAAATTAAAAAATATATTAAAACTAAAAAGATGGCTAGTAAGCTAGTTTTTCTAAACTAAAAATTAAAACCAAACTTTATTGAATGAAGTAGCACATGACCATTTTTTTTAGACAAAAATTTATTACAACTAAGTACATTGAAAATATCAATTAACAGCCAAATTGTGAGATAGGAGAAAAGTTAGATTTGTATTTATTGTTCGAATTAGTTGTGATTTTTGAAAAATTACTACCATCTATAAAAATAATTATGATTTTGCTTTCTTAAAAAAAAAAAGAAAATTATAATTTTGCTAGGTAGAAATAATTTCAAAAAGTTTTTATTTCTAAATAATTGCAAAAATATTTGACCTCAAATTCCATTAGGAGAGGTGCACTTTTCATTCCCCTAAGGGGGTTGGTGGGGTTTCTTGTCATTTGGTTTTTCAAGTTGAAAATTCATTTAATTATTTCTTTGTTTCAAATTTACTTTTTTTAAGATAAAAAAAAAGAATTGAAGTAATAATCTTTTTGCACCATTTCTTAGTTTAATTAATTAAGTCTAGCTCCAAGCTTTGCATTTTAGTGTGAGATTTTTTTTTTCATTTCTTGAAGTTTTATATATAAAAAAAAGCAACTAAGTTGATTACTTATAAATTAATCAATCTAAAACTAGATTAAAACTGAGATTTAAGAAATATAAAATACAAAATTTATTTTATGTTAGGGTTTTTTTTAATTAATGCCTCAAATTACCTACTTTTATCTACGAAGGGTAAAAAATTGAAAGAATCCTATTCTACTTTTAATGGATATTTAGAATGATAAATTGAGAATTTTTCAACTACATGAGAGGTGGAGATTCAAACTTTCGACATTTTAGTTAATTATATATGCTTTAACTAGTTGAGGTATATTCCGACTAGCGAGATGAACTAATTCAAATATAAGTCAATAACGAGAGAAAATATGACGATTTGAAAAGACAAAATAGTCCTACTCTTTTATGATAAGCCAAAGAAGTGGTTGGATAGTGAGGAGAAAGCATTGAGTGCAATTCACTTGTAAGAATGCCATTGGCCCCTTTCTTTTTAAGGAGCCTATGATATGGAGAAAATGCTTTTTAAGACTACACACCTAACAGTTCTATCATAGATCAGCCACAAGTACCTATCCAAAATTCCAATATTTAATTACTTCCCAAATAGGAATTCTAAATGGTAAAATTATCACAAGTATGTGATAAGAAATTCTCAGGGGCAAAATTTTACCTCCTAATTTTGTATATCATAATCTTCCAGAGTTTTTATATCATTTTCTTAATCCAAGAAAAATTGAGATCAGGGCAACATTTCGTCTGTGCTTATTGATGTCTCAAAAAACAAAATCGACAAAACCCAATTCACAGATAATCAGTCAATTCAAGTTTAGTAAGATTTTTTTTTTAAACTTGAGTTGATATTAGTTTGCTTTCTTTAAAATTAGAAAAAAAAAATCTTGTTTTGGGCACATATAGTTGGGATATTATGAGGCATAACATTTCGTTGTAAGTGATTTATGGGGTAAAGAAAGCAAAGGGGGAGCTTGAGAAGGGACCATCAATGGCAAAATGAAGAAAAAAAGAACCCTAGAAATTGCCCTTTTTGCTTTGTGCAACATATGGCTGTGGAATATGACACATATATAAATGGTGGGTCAACTTTGCCCTCATTTTCTCTCACAATGACCATAAAATACCCCCACACTTAAAAATCCCTTTGCTGCACCATAGCCACAAAGTTGGCTAAGCCAAGCTTTTAATTTGAAGGTTTACAAACCACACAAAATTTACACCAATCTTTTCACAAATGCACACCTAACACTTGTCTTGGTCTTTTTATTAGTCTATGATAATTAAATTAATTTAATTAATACATATAGATGCAGGTGGAATAAATTATTTCACGACAATTTAATAATCTTTTAAAATATCAAGTTACGCCTATCTTTTAAAGGTTATAAATCAATAAATAAAAGTTACCAAACAAATTTTTAAGCATACCTTCCATAAATTCTCACTATGCATTATATCCACCGCACAAATTTCAAGATGGGACCTCCTCAATAAATTATGACCTAAGAGAGGAAATAATTTGAACTTTAGGTTAGTGACAAAAAAGTCTCCATCACAAACCCAACTTTCTTGGAGGAGGGAGGGAGATTTTTGTTTAAAAAATAAGTCATAAAATTTTTAATGTAAACAAATAAGTACATAATGGGTTTGAATAATTGTTTTCTTTTGTTAAAAACTAAAAATGTATTAAGTGATTAATTCTTTTTTCTTTCAAAATTTGCATTAACAAATGGAAATTTAGGAGACAAATACCCTTTTTTTTTTCTATAGACAATTAATAAACCTTTCAAAGTGAAGTATGATAAAAGAGTGCTTTCAAAATTATTATATGCATTTTATATGTTTAAAAAATTTGAAAACAAGGAGAAATAGGATTTTTTGTATCTTTATTCTGTATTTTTATTTTTTTTGGTAAATAATGTGAAGGGATATAGTTGTATCAAAGGCACTACTCTCTATATGTAGAAATTGATATATGTGAGAAAGGGAAAGGAATGGTTTAGGAGCATTTGCCCATAAAGAGAAATAAAACATTTACACATACCCTTATCAATACAAACTAAAATCCCAAATATTGGTGCACTCTTTCCAATAGACTTTAAACTCTTTTGACTAATTACGTATTGTTTTTCTTTAAACACACCTACCTATCGATTATATTCTTTTTACCAACATCTAAAGAAAACATATCACACGTTCTAAGAAGAAGAAAAAAACTATCAATTTTTGGAAATGTCGGTGATAGTTTGAGAGAGAGCAAAATCATGGAGACCGGACTCAACTACTCAATTTTAAAATTATAAAACTAAATTGAAATTAAAGCACAGGAAAAAAAAAGTATTTTTACTGAGTAAACAATACCACCACTAACTTCATATCTTGACCACCTTTTATCCAAGGTTATTGGAAACCTTCAAAGAAAAAAAATACATTTATCAACTATTTAAAAACTTTGAAAAATATATGATATTTCATCGAATCTTAGAAAATTATGCAAAGGTTATTAAAAACCTTGGAAAAAGATTATGGAATGTATTTTGAAGACTTTCGAAAATTTTGACTATTTTATCCCGGTTATTAAAAACCTTCTGAAAAACAATACATTTACAATAAATATTTGAAATCTTTGAAAAATATATTATTTTTTATTGAAGGTTTTTAGAAAAACTTTTAAAATTATGCACTTTTTATCCAAAGTTATTAAAAATCTTCGGAAAACATACACATCTATCAATAAATTTCACAAAGCTTTGGAAATTGTGTTATTTTTTATCGAATGTATTCTGAAGACCTTGGAAAATAATTCACATTTTTATCCTATCGAAGGATTATTGAAAATATTTGAAAAAATTACATTTATCAATAAATATTTAAACCTTTGAAAAATATATGATCTTTAAAATTATACATTTATACATTTAAATAAAAACCTTAGAAAAAATTATACATTTATCAACAAATTTCATAAAATTTTGTAAAATGTGTTATCATTTATCGAAGATATTTGAAAATCTTAAAAAGATTATTCAAAATTAATCTCCTTTTTACTAAAGGTGATCGAAAACCTTTGAAACAAAATATATTATTATTGAAGGTACTTACAAAAACCCTTCAAAAATGATCATGTACTTTTTATCCAATATTTATCAAAAACTTTCTAAGAAGATAAGAATTATTTGTTTTTTAATCAAAGTTGCTAAAAACCTTTAAAAATAAGGTTAGAATCTATTTTTCAAAAACCTTAAAAAATGTTAACTTCTTTTTAGTGAAACTTCGGAAAAAGTTATTTACTTTTTTTTTTTATCAGTACAACTTTTTATATCAAAAGGTTATTAAAAATCATTGAAAAAAGATATAATATCATATCATTATTATAAAAACCGTCAAAATGTATAATGTTCTTATACATTTTGTTGTTAAATTCTAACCTAATAATGAATGAGTTGTAATAGCTTCATTTTTTTTCTTCTTTTTTCTTTAAGTAATAATTGCATCAAATTGCCATGCAGACAAAAAAAAGGAAAGGAAAGAAACCAAAAATAAACAATAAAAAAAAAAGAAGTTGAGATGGACAAAGAATAAAGAAAGAAAAATAAAAAACAAAAGTATAGTAATTCGCGTCCCACATCGCTAAAACCAAGAGCAGAGTCTTTGTTTTTATTGACCTTAAGGAAACGACCGCAACGGCGAATGAGATCATGACCCAAGTGGTACAATCGGAAAATTATAAATTGATACCTAAAAACGGTGAATTGGGGTGTGCAAAGAGTAGCAAGTCTTTTGCTCGAAAGCTCTCGGAATATATGAGTACAAATTTTCAAAAGGTTTTGAACCTTTGATAATTGCTACTTAATAATTAATTAGTATTTTCTTTTCTGTTCCTAGAAAATTATGTAAAATTTCTGGTGAAACAATTACAAGATACAAAGATTTTGATGGCTCAGCTCTCCCATCTCCATTTTCTTACCAAAACTGGCTTCCACTCTCAATCATCAGGTTCTCTCTTCTTTACAAACATTCTAATTACTATCTTTTAATATTTTATCTTACAATCATGTTGACACGTGATAAAATAAAATGGAACGAGGAATGTTTCGTGTTTTTATTATGAAAAATATTATGCCGAGTTTGATTGAGATGACGAGATTATTTGACGTAATATCGTCTTTAAAAGTTATTATTTTCTATATAATGTCCTCTACCATACGAGTCTGTTTGATATTATGCGATTTTTATGATGACATATTAGGAGGGTTAGCATAGGGATCATCAATCAATTTTTGTACATTAATTTTTTTTAGTACATTGAAAATGAGTTCTTATTAAGGGTATACCAAAAAAGTCTCTGAAAATTAGGCAGTTTATATGATTTGAAAATGTAAGTGGGTCATTTTTCTTGGTTTAATTAAATGAAGTAATTTTTTTACTTAGAAATTTGACCCTGAAAAACGAAATAAGATACTTGGTGGCATACATTTTTGTTATGATTTAATAAACTATTGGGAAGTATATAAATTTGTAATATTTTAAAAACGTGGTATATACTATCTTTTTATAGTGATCTTAAATTATTGTTGGTTTTAGTTGAGTGAATTATACTCAAATTATTTATTGACTAGTGTTTTAAATACCAATATCAAACATATTTTTTATTTTATTTAAATTTCAACCAATTTGATTTTTTTTTCCTTCTATTTTCTATTGCATCAAAAGAAACAGGTGGTGTTCTTGTTTCTCTCAAGCCAACGCATCCAAAGAACCAAATTTGCTCTTGCCAAATGATGAATAATTCAGGTTATTACACATGAAACATGTGTTCTTAATTAGTATTTTTCTTTTATTTCTAATTTGTTCTCTAATATTTTTCTTTAAACAATTTTAAATCTTAATAAAAATTTTAAAGTAGATCCTTTTTTCCTTTTCAACTAAGATATGCTTGGGTCAACAAGTTTAAATTTGTTTTATAAATTTAGTACCGTTTCTAAAAATGAGTATTTACCAACAATTTTCTTTGTATTTTAAATTTAACATGATAGCTTTAATATTGTGTTCACTAATTTTATTATTGTAGTCTGAGTGAATGAAATAGTAAAAAGAAAAACAGTAAGATGTACGAGTTCGAGAGAAAAAAAAAACATTTGAAAATTTATTGGTTTGTAAAATATCAAATATTAGAAAACGAAATTAACCAAGAACTCATGTTCAACGAGATAAGTCTCTATATTTTATATTTTTGTTTTCTTAATCACTTTCTCGAACACACTTCCTCTATCATATTAAAATAAAAATGGAAATTGAACGGTGTTATTCTCTTAAGATAAAAATGGAAGAAATTTCTTGGATTAACAAAATTACCACATAAAATACCAATGAGAGTTTTAGTTTTATGATACACGTTTTACAAAATTAAAAGAAAAAAAAAAGTTTACTAAATAACCCAACATATACATGATCCATCCCTTTCATGATAAATAAATACACAACTTTATATTTCAATTTGTAATTATTTAAAAACTAAAAACCAAAATAAAAAAGCAAGAATATACTTTTTTTTCTCTTTTTTTTTTAAGAATTTTTTTTTCTGCTTTACCATAAAAAGACAAGGAACAGTAATTACCGTTAAGCTCACATGGCGAAAGAGAAGCCACGCCCTGCCTTAAGCTTCTGAACCAAAAAGCCGTGGTTCTTCTTCTTCCTCCTATATAAACCACCAACCCATCACCCAAAATTCAGCCACAAACTTCACCAGTTCTTTCTTCTGAATTCGCTTCACTCTCTTCACTTTTCTTCTCCAAAAGGGATCTTCCCCGAATCCCCAATTCTTACAATTCTCCAGCTCTTCTGATCGATTTCCATGGCGGGTAATGGGGTTTTTGCAGAGATTCTTGACGGTGAAGTGTACAAGTACTATTCCGAAGGGGAATGGAGGAAGTCATCGTCCGGGAAAAGCGTCGCCATTATCAACCCTACTACCAGGAAGACTCAGTACAGGGTTCAAGGTATGGCTAGAAGTTTAGAACCCCTGTTTTTTGATGGTTTTCTTTTTGTTTCTTGGGAAATTTTGATGATGGAGAGAAAACCCACTTCGAATTCTGGGACTCTGAAGCTAAATTTATGAGAAAAGTGTTGGTAAATGTTATGCATTAATTGGAATATTTGTGAATCATGACAGTGTTTGTGTTCTGTTAAACTAAATACTTAAAGTTGATGGTATATGAGAAAGGAAATAACATTGTAGAAGTTCGAATATAGGATGTTTTGCTTTGGTTTCATGTTAAATGCTGTTTAACCCAAAAGTTTTAAGGTGACATTTGTTCATTTTTTTAGAGTTTTGTAGATAATTTATGGCATTGGTTAACAGCTTGCAGCCAAGAGGAGGTAAATAAAGTGATGGAAATAGCCAAAACTGCACAGAAATCATGGGCAAAGACTCCATTATGGAAGAGAGCAGAGCTTCTTCACAAGGCAGCTGCAATTTTAAAAGAACACAAAGCCCCCATTGCTGAGTGTTTGGTGAAAGAAATTGCCAAACCAGCGAAAGATGCAGTAACTGAGGTATAATTAACTTTTTACAGTTTTTTGTTGTTCTTCTTCTTCTTGTTCTTGGAATGAAGTGATGATAAAGGTTTTGAATGGTGTGAAGGTTGTGAGGTCTGGGGATCTTGTTTCATATTGTGCTGAGGAAGGTGTGAGGATCTTGGGAGAGGGGAAGTTCTTGGTTTCTGACAGTTTCCCTGGGAATGAGAGGACCAAATATTGCCTTACTTCCAAGGTACTTTTTCTGCTCTGTTTTCCCATGTATGAGACAAAACTAAAGTATTTTTAAATGATAAAAAGCACTTTCTGCTTTAAATATTTGTGCTTGGCTGGCTAACGTTTTAACTTTCTTCCTTTAATTACTCTCTAAACATATTTTTTCTAAATGATCTCTCTCTTTTCACACTCTCTCACTAGTTCTTTTAACGTATATATTGATTCTTGTTAGATAAAAAACACTGCAAGTCTCTAATCTGTTTTGTGCTTTCACTTTTGAACTTGAATAATCCAGATCCCACTTGGTGTGGTTTTAGCCATTCCTCCATTCAACTATCCTGTCAATCTGGCTGTCTCGAAAATCGCCCCGGCTTTGATTGCTGGAAATTCCATCGTCCTCAAGCCTCCGACTCAGGTACATACTACTTTAAAACTAAATGATCTCACCAATGTGTTCTCCATCAATGACAATTGAACCGAATAATTCGACAAAGCATTCGTTCATGCTTCAAACCGAATGTAAACTCGTGTTCTATTGAATTTAACTCTGTTTCTCTTTGTGGTTCATGACTTCACAATCAGTTTATCTGTAATTGAAATGTATATGAGAAAACAGAACAGATGTTTAGGCTCATGTAGTATATTGAATAGAGTACACAAGTCTCGATCTGTCTTAACGCTTTTACCGTAATTCAGGGTGCTGTTTCCGCTCTCCACATGGTGCATTGCTTCCACCTAGCTGGTTTTCCTGAAGGCCTTATCAGTTGCGTCACTGGAAAAGGCTCTGAGATTGGCGATTTCCTCACTATGCATCCTGGTGTGAACTGTATAAGGTAAGTACTGCTATGTGTTCCATATGATGGTGATTTATGAGGTCTTCCATTCACGTGACTCGGTGATTTCGTATGCGCAGCTTTACCGGTGGAGATACTGGTGTTGCAATTTCGAAGAAGGCAGGCATGATACCTCTTCAGATGGAACTGGGAGGCAAAGACGCTTGCATTGTGCTCGAGGATGCTGATCTTGATTTAGTCGCCGCAAACATCATAAAGGGAGGATTTTCTTACAGGTGAGATCAGATTCTAAACAAATTCATCAATGGTTTATTCATGAATAATTTCTAGGCTCATACGACCTCGAAAACGCCTGCTTCCGTTCATATATGCACTCCCTCTTTCCACTCTTTGACATGAATGAAAATTTAAACTTGGCTGATCTGTTGGAAAGAAAGATTACTTGTTTTTGTTCTTCATCCTTAGAACAGAATAGATTTTATAGTGAAGAACTGAAGAACTTGATGATCAACTTCTTACCAAAATCATAAGCATGTTGGATCATTTACTTCAAAAATCTTTTTCCATAAGCTTAAAGCTGAGCATCGACTAAGTCGTTGATACTTGTTTCGATGACAGTGGCCAAAGGTGCACTGCCATCAAGGTTGTTTTGGTAATGGAGTCCGTAGCAGATGCTTTGGTCGAGAAAGTAAAGGTTCGGGTGGCTAAACTAACGGTTGGTCCCCCTGAAGACGACTCAGACATCACTCCAGTCGTGACCGAGTCGTCAGCGAATTTCATCGAAGGGTTGGTATTAGATGCAAAGGAAAAGGGAGCAACATTTTGCCAAGAGTACAAAAGAGAGGGCAACCTCATATGGCCATTGTTGTTGGACAATGTTAGACCAGATATGAGGATTGCTTGGGAGGAACCTTTTGGACCAGTTTTGCCAGTCATTAGAATCAGTTCCATTGAAGAAGGAATCCACCATTGCAATGCTAGCAACTTTGGACTTCAAGTAATATGAAAACGTGTTTGATAACTATTTTTTCTTTCTCGTTTTCTTTTAGTGTAGGCTCACATATAAACTATTCTTATAAAATGAAAAACAGGGATGCGTCTTCACAAAAGACATCAACAAAGCCATATTGATAGGCGATGCAATGGAAACCGGAACAGTTCAGATCAACTCCGCACCTGCCCGTGGGCCTGATCATTTTCCATTCCAGGTACCCTAAATCTCTAAATACCCACTATTATTTTTGAAATGTGCATCGACTTTACCGATCCGGGCGTGTGGACAGGGAATCAAGGACAGTGGAATCGGGTCTCAAGGCATCACCAACAGCATCAACATGATGACCAAAGTGAAGACAACAGTTATCAACTTGCCAACACCTTCCTACACCATGGGTTAGTTTAATTATTTGTTAGCTTAAGCTCTTAAGTAGTTTTAAAAAGCAAAATATTTGGTTTGAGTTTTGTTTGTAGCCTCTAAATTTCATGTTATCTTGTTAATTAGTTCTCTTCTTCCTTCTCCTACCACTTTTTCCTTATGAAATCATTAGCAACTAGCTAACTTGTACTTTTTAATAAATAAAATTGCAATAGAAGTTATTATAAAGTTGTATGCTTTCTTTTTTATATCCCTTTTCGAAAAAAGAAACTCATATCGTCGCAACCATCTTTGAAAAATTTATTAAGGATTTATACCTATCCAAAATAATTACAAAATTTGTCTGAATCCCTCGCCAATCAATAAATGGATCGGTTAAATGTTGTTAATGAGAATAGTAATAATATGTCTTCTTGGTTTCAAGTACACGAATATGAAACTGAAACAAGATTAAATTTTAAGAAAATTACAGTAAATATAATTAATATATACTTTTTTTTTTTGTGAATTATTATCCATAAAATTTAATTTGCTCCCATGTGTGTTTGTTTGTTAGGAACCAAGTCTGTTAGTAAAAGAGCCCTAGGGCCCAAATTGTGAGTGGATTTGACAGTGTGGGCCCAATAGAGCAACAAATTTGAAGAGGCAGCAACTGAAAAATATTTGGTACTTTTCCAAGGAAAATTAATTAGATTAAATCAGTGTAGAATAAAACCAATGCCAATTTTTCAATAGTAGATTAAATATTAGACCTTTTTTTTCTTCATATTTTTACTCAATTTTTGTGTTTCAATGGTGGGTTCAGTGCTTGATTTGTCTCTGTCACTGTAATTCTCAGGTTAAGACAAAGATTTTGTTAAATAAACTTTTGGTTCATTTTAGCATAGTTCGAGTCGTTAGACATTAGTATATCTAAATCTAGATTTGTATCATGAGATAAAGATTATTTTGATTTTATTAATGAAATACTTTTGGGCCTATAAGAATATATAATATAATCGAGCAAAAAATTAATTATTTGTGTATGAGAATTTTCTTTTGTTAGCACATACAAAATATTTTAAAACACGAGTAAAATTTGTGATTTTCTTTTACATTTAAAAATGTAGGATAAGTGAAAGTTCACGAGATTTTTTATTAATCGATTCGATGGTTTCCATTCTTAAAGTCAAACTCAATATTTTAGGGTTAAAAAAATCATATGATTTTTAATTAAGTTCCCCATCTACCCAATAAGATCTCTTGTTGAAAATCAAAAGGTGGAGGGCTTTTAAGTCTTCATATATGTTGATGTTTTTTGGGTAGCAAATAACAATAATCTCAAAGCCAACCAATTTTGTACCCAATATGGCCAACACCACATTCCCACTTAACTTCATTATATATGATGAGTAAAGTAATTAAATCAAGATCTTAATGCAAAATCAAATCCACTTTATTGAAATTTTCTATCATTTCTTTCCCTAACTTCATTATTATGATGGATTTTGTCGAGCTGATTTGAAACTTACGTAAAAATATATGAATCACGATGAAATGAAATACATTATATCTAAATGTTTTACTTTTAGGATCATCGAATTGATAATTCACAATTTAATAAATTCATTCCAATTTGGTTGGTTAATATGTTCTTTTTGAATGAACAAATAAACTTAAAAATTCACTCTCATACATTCGCATAATTGTTTATTTTTTTATACATCAATTATATATGTCATTAATAAAAAAATGATAGGCACCTTTTCACCATTTCCTTCACCTAAACTTTGTAAATTTTTTGTTATATATGATACGATATGATATTAATGGCACATGTGACATAAATCTTATTTACTAAAAATAAAAAAACATATATAAAATATGCTTAGAACAAATTCCAAAGCAATTTTCTAATTAAAGCTAAGGTAGGAACCATAGCCACCTAGCTCGTTTTGGAAATCCTAAAAAATAATATAATAATGACCATATGATAAAGAAAGATTTTTAATTATTTATTCAAATTTTATTTTCTCATATGGATACAATATATCAATCCTTTTAACACTTTTTTTTTCATCCATATGAGTATAACTTAACGGTATTGATATCTACAACTACTCTCCTTAAAGTTGAATGTTCAAATTCACTTCTCCATATTTGTTGTACTGAACAAAAAGTACAAATTTTTCTTGAAGTACATCTTTAATGAATAATAAAATGTCGAGAGAGTTCAATAATGATAAAAATACACTATAGTTATTTATTTATTTTTTTTATAATAATGTCTCTTGTTCGATCTTAGTTTTATTTTTCAACGATTTCCACGTATATACAAGATACGTTGGATGATGATAAAAGATTATTTTAGATAATATGTTCGCAAGTTTAGAGACAAAGAATTAAGAAATAATGATACATTGTATTAAAAAATATTAGTATATTTAAACTACATATCAAATTAAGAATACAATACATGCATTAGGACAAGAATTATGTGAGCTCAATTAGCTAGGTGATCTATGGATCTTGTGGAAGTAAGATAGTTGTTTTTTTTAAATTATTTTTCTTCATATTTAAATGCATTATTGGAAGAGATAGGAGAGAGAGGGTAAAAGGATGATGTGAAAATTATATATTTTAAGGGTAAGAATGGTTTCAAGAAATATTTTAATACCCAAAGATTTGGAAGACAATGTGTAAGGTAAATATGAACATTATAATATCTTGAAAATGTGTGAACATTTGAAAAAATGGGAAGAGGATGTGTTTTTGACTTTTTCTCCTTGTTAGAGTATATTATAAGATGCGAGAGAGATAAGTTTTTGTAGACGAATTTCATTGTAATAATATCTTGATTTTGAATTTTAAGATTGATTTGTAAATAATGATGCACTGATTACAACTCGTCCAATTCGAATATACTTTAGCAAGTAAGACATTCATAGTTTTTTTAAAGTTGAATATTCAATCATTTACCATTATATTTATTGTACTAAAAAAGTTCGTAGCAGCTTTTATTTTTTCTTTCTGATACAAAAAGTACCACTAAGTCATTCTTTAAATATCTTTATCTATCTATTTTTTAGTAAAAATTAAATTGATAAAACTGCACCACGAACTCGTGAATATAGCTCAACTGTAAAATAAATAATAGATTCGAAATGCGAGCATTCGTGCACCACATTTACCATTTATAATTTATGTAATTACGAGTGGTTTAAAATTTAATTTTTTTTTAAAGGTTATTTTACCTATATTTGAAAATTGGAAATTGGACGCTCCTGAATTTTGTTTACCTAACTGACTCGCCGAGATTAGTGTCAAAATTAGCGGGAAAAAATGAAAAAGAAAAAGAGAGAAAAAAAGGAATTTTGTGGCGGCTATTTTTTAGGCTACTTGGGTATGCCTCTTCCATCTCCACTCGCTATTTTGTGGAATTTTCACTCCACGCGCTCAAAATCTTTTATATTTCAAATTTCCGGATAAATGTTGTAATATTCATGTCCACAAAGAAAATGAAAAAAATTAGAGAGATGGTGGAATATCAAATCTTCGACCTTATTAAGGACAAGTTTTCCTTTGCTATAATAGGTTAAAGTATCATAAATTTGCAGGCTAATATCTACACAACTATGCCTTATAAACTAATTAAAATAAAAAATAAAATTAAAACATCCTTAAACTCTCCTTTAAAGGAAAGGTTTTAACTTTGGTTTTTCTTTTTCAAGGCCCTGAATGTTAAATTTATTTTATTTTGGTATTTGAATTTTTAAAATATTTATTTTATTTTGCTATTTACTATAGTTTTGTAATACAATATCCATTTACCTAACATTTTCTTCAACCAATCCAAGTAGCATCAATATACATGCCTATATCAATATATTAATACAATATTTAAAGTTATTTTTATCAATTTGTTGAAACCAAAATTAGTGTATAAGTTCAAAGACTAAAATAAACTTTATGATAGTTTCGAATCAGAACAAATATTTTAAAGATGGGTGACGAAGTTCATTCAAGTTAAAAGCTTTAGGATTGTTTTTTTAGTAGCAATTTATTTATTTTTTCTTGTATCGTGTTTCTGTTTTTTTGGTCTCATTTCTTTTTTTTTTCTTCTTTTTAATAAATAGAAGCAGAAATGCATTTGAGAATTTTTCTTCTTTCTTGGTGGGAAACCATTTCTTGATTTTTGTCCTCTAAAGTTAAAAATTTGTATGAAAATTTTATTTTTTATATTGAGTAGTGAAATTTTGTATCTTATATTTATTTTTAATACTTGTTATGTATTGTATAGATTAAGGATGATAAAACAATATTTTTAATTTATGTATGGGAAAAAAACTGAAAACTAGCAAAAAAAACAATAAATTTGATTATGGCGTTTGATTTCTTAAAATCTAGAAACTAGAAGCCAGAAACTACGGGCCTATAATGACAAAAATTGTGTTTCTACCCCTATTTAAAATAGCTTAAATGGTGATCTTTCCTCACGTATTTATTTTGTGACATTTGATTTAATTTTATAAAAGTAAAATTTAGATTCGTAGAAATACAAAATATAGAGAAAGTGAAGTGAAGGTTACGCGCCTCCTTGGCTGCAAAATGACCAAATTGTCTTCATCTTTCTGTATAAAATCTCAGTAATACCCACTTTCCATCGCTCTCTCTACTCTGTTTACTTCTCGACGAAACCCTGCCGGACTGATATGAGACTCACCAACTCCCTCTCCGACCTCCATAGCCACCACCACCGCAACCGGCGGCCGGAGTCCGACGCTCCTCAACTCCAGAGCCACCTTCACAGCTCCCACTTCGATCCCCCTACCTTCTCCCACGACGACTTCTTCGACCAAATGCTTTCCACCATCCCCCCTTCCTGGGAACTCCCCCCCTCCGGAGCCCTGTCCGACGACGCTCCACCGCCGCCGCCGCCGCCGCAGCCTAATCCTGATAATACCGCGTTTCAGTTCGATGAGTCGTCCTCTGCCACTAATCTGGCTTCCAAGCTCAGCGGCTACCAGATCAGCGAGACGACTGCGAAAATGGCGATGACGATGCTTCAGCAGCAGTTACTGATGTCGAGAGCGATGGTGACTGCCGCCGATTCAGGACTCCTTCCAATGCCTGGTGCGAACCTTGAGGATTCTTCGTCTTTCAAATGCCCTAATCCGGTACTGAAATTGATACTTTCTAATTCAATCGCTAATAATCATTCAATTAGAAAAATTAGATTTCGAATTGGTACCGAACTCTATCCAATTCCTGAAATGAAATTGCGTAATCTTGCAGATTGGTGACGGTTCTGTTCCGTCTCTCTATAATGAATTCGCCGGATATCTGAATGCCTCCGGTTCCAGCCACAACCATAACCATAACCATAACCAATCTCAGTATCTTCATCTACCTCAGGCAGTAAGTTCGTTCTATCGTCCACTCCTTCAAGAACACAACCTCACCATTTTTTTTCAACTCCATTACATTAAATCTGCAGGGGAATTCACAGAAACAGAGCTTCGGAGCTCCAGTAGCAGTCAATAACCCACCTCCGTCTAACGCTCCGGCGGGGCATGGTTCCGGCGGTGCTGCACCGGCTCAGCCTCGACAAAGAGTCAGAGCTCGCAGAGGACAAGCCACTGATCCTCACAGTATAGCGGAAAGAGTAATCGAACATTTTCATTTTCATTTTCTTTGTTTCGTCCGTTTTCCGTTAACTAATTTCTTCGAATCTATAATCCATCTTTATGATTTCATTCGATTTTCCACAGCTACGAAGAGAGCGAATTGCAGAGAGAATGAAAGCTTTACAGGAACTGGTTCCAAACGCTAACAAGGTCCGTTTCGTCATTCTTCATCTTGTTAGGGTCTTTACGGTAATTTCGGTCGAGGTTAGGCTATAACTATAAATACACGTGTCGACAGAAGGTTCCACCTTTTATTTATCCAACGGTTCTACCCCGTCAAATTAGCATAACCTCTCTCTCTCTCTCTACTTTTTTTTTTTTTTAAATTTTTAAATTTTCTTTTTTATATCTTTCCGTGCGTACCTTGTATTCGGGGCAGGAAACCGTACTCTTGCTTGGCGGGATTTGTATTTTTCTTTTGACAAAGATATATATTGTAATTAAATTTTATATAAGGGTATGGGGATCCAACTTTTAGAATAAGCTTTAATCATATAATATGTGTTGAATAAGAAAAGGAATTTAAAATTACATTTTAAGATGTCTAGTTGATTTAGCATATTTCCTTTAAACGATTCTTGAATACTATTTTTATTTACTCAATTTCTCTTAATTAAATATGTGAGAGTTTTTTTTTTCTTTCTTTTTATAAGGATAATGTGCAGAAGAATTTTCTTTTCTTTTATCAGCCATAGTTGGCGGATGATATGGGTCACTTATCTACTAAAGTTTGTTTTTATTTGTATGTCTTCCAAAAGTGAAATGTAAATTTTGATATAAATTATGGATCATCATACCATAAAAACTACGGAAGAGCCCATTTGAGAAAAATTGTTTTTGAACAATTATATTGTTTACTCACAATATTTTTTTAATACTTTTTTTTTATATATATATTTGGATTTGAATGTCCAACAATTAACCAGTTTACTTTGTTTTTGTTTTTGAGATGTGGTCAATATTTAAAGCAGAATATTTAAAACTAGGGGTTGATTGATATTTTTTATTTTTAGTTTTCTATGTAATTCCTTCTTGTTATAAAAAATTTGAAATTTAAACCAACTTTTTGGAAGAAAAAAAATTAGTTTTTAAAAATTTGGTTGAGAATTCAAATTAAATATGTTACAAAGGAATGTGAATAATATATTAATAAATTGTGAGAAGTATAATATTCTTAAAAATAGAAAATTAAAAAACAAAATTGTTATTAAATGGGCTTAAATTATTTTTAAACTATGCCTTCTTAAGTTATACTTAAATGGAAGTATTTGGCATGAATAATGATGAAAATGATAGAGCATGTGGGATCTAAAGGGGTTGAGTTTTGGAATGACAGACAGACAAGGCTTCAATGCTGGATGAGATCATCGACTACGTGAAATTCCTCCAGCTTCAAGTCAAAGTAACATCTCTCTCTCTCTCTCTCACTACAAAATAAAGATAAACTAAATAATTTGAATGAAGTTTTTAATGGTTATTTTTTTCTTTTTTAATTATGTGGTATTGCTTTTCTTCGTTGGCTGCGGTTGCAGGTTCTGAGCATGAGCAGGTTGGGCGGTGCCACTGCTGCCATGCCTTCCCTTGTAGCTGATATTTCCTCTGAGGTACCAAACATTTTTACTTACACTTTATGAACAAAAATTTGCCATGAAAACGACAGCGTACCCCCATTAAAAACTTTAGTTTTTCGCAAACAAGCATCATCATGGAAAAAGATGTTTCAAATCCTTTAATGATCATATTTTCATCTTTGTTCATGATTTACACCTTGCTTGAGAATGTTTACTGATCTCAATATCTTTAAAAATACCTTTTTACAACCCATAAGGAAACTAAATAGTACTCTCAAAAAGTATTCTTCAGCACAAAATGAATTGCGAAACTATGACTTCAAAGATATGGATTTAGGTAATGCCTGTTTGGATTGGGATTGTGATGTGAAAATTGTTTCATGTTGAGGATCTTAAAGGTCATTATTGTAGTTCATATATATATATATTAGCTATGTGAATTTATGTTGGTAGCATAGACTTGACTTCTTAACTTTTGGGATTTGATTTGAAATGTAACATCTGAGCCGAAATTGGGAGTTATTGTTTGGAAAACTTTACTTGGAAAATGTAGAGAATAAAAAGTTTAGTAAGATACAAACAAGGAGAGGAAACAAAGAGGGTGTTCCAGTCCACATCCACATCCACACCCACTTACTCTGGTCTTTCCCCATTGTCTTAAACCAGTTCTCCATGAAACTCTATCCTCTTCTCAATTTTCTCTCTCCTCACTAAACGACAATTTAACTCATCACGCCTACCA